ATGTGCGAAAATAAATTTTAAGAGTCCTGTTAGTTCACTGCAGCCATCTTGAATTACGATATCAAAAGTGAAAAAATAATAAAAATTACTTGCAAAATACATTAAAACAGAAATGTTGATAAAATAATGTTTACTTTCGATAAGATAGACTTTTAAGATATATCGAAAACTTTTCTTTCGCTTCGTTAATCAATAAATAATGCTATATCTATAATTGAATTGTGGCTCTATTCTTGATTATATATAATTTAGATATATATTTAATTATATATTTTCTAGATATGGGTAGTTATTTATTGATTATCAGATTAAAAGAAGAGTTTTCTGTGTATTTTACAAATCTGTTCAGAGTGCAAATATCATTTTATCGAAAAATATTTCTATTTTAATGCATTTTGCAAGAATTTTTATGTTTTCTCATTTCAATCATAATTCAAGATGACTACAATGAATCAACAAGAACTTTAAAATATTTGTAATTACTTACAATCGACGAAAATTGCTAGTAATTTTATTGATTTTGATAAATTTTTTATATATAACAGTCAAGCTTTAAATAATTAGTAAAATATCAGGAAAGATTTATATTATACAAAGTATAATAATCATATCCCCTCTCGTGAGCAGCTAAAGCGGCTTATAATGAATATAAAAATCTATCATTTTCACAATCGTAGATTTGAAAAATAGCACAATAATAAAAAACTCAGTATAACTCATTCTATTTGCTCACGAAAGATGATACATTACACTCTCTATGATTAGAATAGAGACTTTAACAATACTATATTAATCAAAATTTCAAGAATCGATTTTTTTTAAGCTATCTTCAATTATTAGAAATTCAAAGCAGGAAAATATCATATGAACATCAACATACATACATTTATATACACACGCACACACACACACACAAAATTTGTGCTCACATGCATCATTTTCATATAAATCTTTAGTTATATATTACTTTGTTTTTCTTGTCAATTATCCGCAAATTATGACTTGTTTATGTTATTATTTATTAATAATTAATACTTTTAATAAAAATAATTAAGAAATTAGGTTAAAGATGAACAGTTTTAAATTTTGCAGTTGGCGATCTCAGATTTAAGCGGTTGATAAAATTAATTCAAGATGGTGAAACCGTCCATTTCCAAGTAAATGACTAATGACTCCTGCACGCAAAATACGGTAATGCTTGTCGCGTCTTGTGTGCAAGAATCAAGAACTCGTCTATTTTATCAACAGAATACGATGTTTTTCGTAAAAATTTTTTTATGTATTGCTTTTATAAGTTTAGAAATTCTTTTCCATAATTAAAGTTTTTGCGTTAATAAATCTTGCAAACAGAACATGACAATACCATGCAGCGAAAAGTAACGGTAGCCAATTATTTTCCTGCTCTTATGAAAAATGTCATGTAAAAGTGATAAACTGATTGGCTATCGCGCTAATTTTCGCCGCACAATAATAACGTTGCCACGTCTCGTGTACAAGAGCTATAATACATATTTATTGCATGGACTTTATGTCAAAAACGAGAAAAATTTTTTTTAATTTAGATTGTTTTTATATATTTGCTATTTTATATATTTGCTTTTTACTATAGCATTCTAAAGACATAAGAAATATTTAAAAGTCAATTTGTTGTATCTTGAAACAAGATAAAAATTATGAAAGTGAAGGAATTCAGAGTATCTACGATTTCATATATCGAAATTTAATAATTAATAAATTTAATTAATAAATTTCTTCACTCTTTAATAATTTTCATTTTATCTCAAGATATATAATTAATCCTCTGAATGGTCAAATTCCAATTCAATCTCAATTTTAATCCATGTCTATGGGCTTAATGTCCATGAGATTAAATTGGAATTTGACCAATCCAAATAAACTTGAGATTAATTTTCTTTTTCCTGATTGGTTAAATTCCAATCTAATCTCTGCGTTCCGATGTTCAATACTGAAAATATATATATAGTTCATGTCATTATTATAAATTTTTACTGCAATTACTTTACTGAATATTGGAACACAATCTTAAACTCTAATCTGATATGGGCATAGGAGTTGTTGAAAGATCTTATATATATTTTATAAATATAATAAATCGTTAAAAGTGAGTAAATAATTTGCTTTATGGACAAATCGAGTAGAATCCGATTGTCCATGTCGATAATTGGCCAATTAAATATAAAATTTTCTAATTGGTGGTCTACTAGAAAATTTCTAAGAATCGACCGATGTGAGATCTTCCTAATAAAGCAGCACTCACAAGGTGCGTTCAATAGAACAAAGTGATCAGTGAATGATTATTGATTTTTACTGTTAGATCTCTGAATTTAAATCAATCACGTTGATGAATTACTAGCTTTGAAGCATTTTTTAATCGATCAATTGATAAAATTTTTTGTTTTGATTGATCAATCAAATGCTTCAAAGCCATAGAACTTATACTATTGAATATCTTTTCTAAAGGCCATTGCTTGTGGAAAAAATTTAGTCATAATTATAAAGTATATATAAATATGTAAATTAACCCACCAGAATTTGCCTATATCAGAGAGAAGCCTGAGAGTAATCATGGACGCGTTTTAGTTGTACTCTTATTCGCGTAGATAATGTGCATATTTTTATGGTTCTCTTCCGTGCTAAACGCAAGAGTGACAAAATTGGACGACGAAGCATTTGTAATGAGACTTTGGGCCAGTTTTACCATCTCTGATGAATTTAATCGGTCGATTATTTTATTAGAATTGCTCATACTTTAAATCAAATAGTCAATTTCCCAGTGCGATTGGTGCGATCGACTTCAATGGAATAATCAGCCGGTTTAATTAAGCAGAGATGACAAGATCGGATCTTTGGTCACTATGTATTTTTTAAATACAACCATAGCTATCCATAATTGGATAAAAGATACACGCATTCAATTACGTACATTCAATTCGTTGCATGAATATCGGACTTAACTGCGCCCCGTGTATTGGAAAGGAGTCTAATGTGTCTGAAGTGTGACCAACTTCATGGCGCGATAAATTGAAAAACACGGGTAGGAAGGTCCTCGGCTGAGATTCGGTGGTTGTTGAGAAGTATTTATCACCTGCTGGGTAATATATTATGAAAGCAATGTCCCATCATTACGTAGTGACGGCACATAAACCAACGGCTGTCACTGCTTGCGTGACTGGTAAGTGATTAAATTCATAAAATCACTTGGAGCATGAGATATCAATCATTCTACTGCTGCGTTGCACTATCCCAAGGTAATTTCACGTCACCCACGGATTTGAATCTAATATTGGCTAAGAATGTACGTTTGGAGATATATCTCGTGACACCGGAGGGTCTGCGACCCCTGAAGGAAGTGGGGATCTATGGCAAGATAGCGGTCATAAAATTCTTCAGACCGCCGGTAAGGTTAACCCCTTAAAGGGTTAAGATGGTTTTTCTCGGAATAGGAAAATATTTACATTCGCTATATATCCAGCAGTTGTATTCGTTTTTTGTTAATAAATTATAAAGGAAGACATCACTACTTTAATGTCTAGCGACTTATGTGAATTATTTTTTGATATATATAGATATGTTTTTAGCATATTGTAATATCTATCTTATAACACAGACAAATTGTAAAACAAATATATTCTTAAGAGAAGCCATTGTTAAAGTTTTATGAGAAGATGCGCAGATCTATGAAAATTTATGCAACATTGTTTGAAGGAATATTTGGATGAAGCATTGTTGAAACTCAATTTAATATGTTAAATTATATAACAATGCTTAACAAAATTTTTATTTTCTGACAGCATGAGAAAAAGGATCTTCTGTTCCTGTTAACGACACGTTATAATGCCATGATTTTGGAATGTATTGGAGAGGGAGAAGATATAGAGATTATAACAAAAGCTCATGGAAATGTAGCAGATCGTATCGGGAAAGCTTCTGAAACTGGAATTAAAGCTGTTATTGATCCAAAAGCACGAGTAATCGGTCTTAGATTATATGATGGTCTCTTTAAAATTATACCTTTGGACAAAGATAATCCAGAATTGAAAGCATCTTCAATTCGTATGGACGAGCAACAAGTACAGGATGTCAATTTCCTTCATGGATGTGCTAACCCTACTTTAATTTTAATTCATCAAGATATCAATGGTAGGCATGTAAAAACACACGAAATTAATTTAAGAGATAAAGAATTTGCTAAGATACCATGGAGACAGGATAATGTGGAGCGAGAAGCCATGATGGTCATCCCTGTACCTTCCCCTATTTGTGGCGCAATTATAATAGGACAGGAGAGTATTTTGTATCACGACGGTACTACATACGTTGCGGTAGTGCCATCAATTATAAAGCAGAGCACTATTACCTGCTATGCTAAGGTAGATAATCAAGGACTAAGGTATTTGTTGGGGGATATGGCTGGTCATTTGTTTATGTTATTTCTGGAACAAGAGAAAAAGTCCGACGGAACGCAAGTAGTGAAAGATTTGAAAGTCGAGTTGTTGGGCGAAATAAGTATACCAGAATGTATAACTTATTTGGATAATGGTGTAATATATGTCGGTAGTCGTATGGGCGATTCCCAGTTGATTAAATTAATTACAAAGGCAGATGAGAATGGATCCTACTGCGTACCTATGGAGACTTTCACTAATCTTGCACCTATTGTTGATATGGCTGTAGTGGATCTGGAAAGACAGGGTCAAGGTCAGATGGTTACATGTTCGGGAGCTTTCAAAGAAGGATCCCTCAGGATTATTAGAAATGGTATAGGTATACAAGAGCATGCGAGTATCGATTTACCAGGAATTAAAGGCATGTGGGCTCTGAAGGTTGGTAGTAGGCATTTCGATAATACATTGGTGCTGTCGTTTGTCGGACAGACTAGGATCTTAACTCTAAATGGCGAAGAAGTTGAGGAAACAGACATTCCAGGTTTCGTCGCGGATGAGCAAACATTTCACACAGGCAATGTTACCAATGATTTGTTCATTCAGATAACTCCAACTTCTGTCAGATTGATCTCATACGAGAGTAAAATGGTTGTCTCCGAATGGGAACCACAAAACAAAAGAACCATTAGCGTAGTAGCTTGTAATGGAACGCAGGTCCTTTGCGCTACAGGAAACGATCTGTTCTATATAGAAATTACATGCAATCAAATTGTATCCAAGGGATTTGTTACCCTACAGCATGAAGTGGCATGTCTCGATATCTCTCCTCTGGATGGTGTTAACGAGGCCAAGATCGTTGCTGTCGGACTTTGGACAGATATATCTGTTCGTATCTTAACACTACCCAGTTTAGAAGAGATCAATAAAGAACTTCTCGGAGGCGAGATTATACCCAGATCTATTTTAATGACTTGCTTTGAGGGTAACACGTATTTACTTTGCGCTTTAGGCGACGGCAGTATGTACTATTTCACTCTACATCGACAAACGGGTATGCTTTCCGATAAAAAGAAAGTCACCTTAGGAACACAGCCGACGGTTCTCAGAACCTTTCGATCGCTCTCTACAACGAATGTGTTCGCATGCTCGGATAGACCCACCGTTATTTATTCCTCAAATCACAAACTCGTTTTCAGTAATGTTAATTTAAAGGAAGTAAATCACATGTGCTCCTTGAATGCGGAATCTTATCCCGACAGTCTAGCATTGGCGACAGATAGCACTGTCACTATTGGTACAATTGACGAGATTCAGAAGCTTCACATAAGGACGGTTCCACTTGGGGAGTCGCCTAGGAGGATTGCTTATCAGGAAAGCTCACAGACCTTCGGTGTGATCACCATGCGTGTTGACGTGCAAGACAGCAGTGGAGTAGGCTTCGTAAGGCATTCCGCATCCACTCAGGCGACTTCTACGTCAAGTAGTAGCCACGTAGCCTCGCATAACAAACCCAGTGGGCACACCGCCAGCGAGATCGGTCAGGAGTTTGAGGTTCACAATCTTTTGATTATCGATCAACATACTTTCGAAGTTTTACACGCGCACACGTTGATGCCTACCGAGTATGCGTTATCGTTGATCTCAACCAGACTGGGCGAAGATCCGACCTCTTACTTCGTGGTCGGGACCGCGTTTATAAATCCCGATGAGACTGAGCCCAAGATGGGCAGGATATTGTTGTATCATTGGAGTGAAGGCAAATTCATGCAGGTTGCGGAAAAGGAGATCAAGGGTTCGTGCTATTCCTTGGTAGAGTTCAATGGGAAACTTCTAGCTAGCATCAATAGTACCGTACGATTGTTCGAATGGACTGCAGAAAAGGAGCTCAGATTAGAATGTAGCCACTTCAATAACATTATAGCGCTGTATCTAAAGACCAAAGGCGACTTTGTTTTAGTGGGAGATTTGATGAGATCTCTTACATTGCTTCAGTACAAGACTATGGAAGGCAGCTTTGAAGAAATAGCCAGAGACTATAATCCTAATTGGATGACCGCTATCGAGATATTAGATGATGATACATTTTTGGGTGCCGAAAATTGCTTCAATCTTTTTGTATGTCAAAAAGACAGGTATGCTGGTTAATAACGTCAAAAATTCATACTTTTTTAGGAAGACAGTTCTAAATGACGACAATTTTTTATTTAGCGCTGCAACATCCGAGGACGAGAGGCAACAAATGCAGGAAGTAGGCCAATTTCACTTAGGTGATATGGTCAATGTTTTTCGGCATGGTTCATTAGTGATGCAGAATTTGGGAGAATCAAGCACGCCGACTCTAGGTTGTGTATTGTTCGGCACTGTAAGCGGCGCAATCGGTCTCGTGACACAAATACCATTTGCATTTTACGAGTTCCTGCGCAACATGGAGGATAAATTAAATAGCGTAATAAAGAGTGTGGGTAAAATAGAACATAATTTTTGGAGAAGTTTTAATACGGAATTGAAGATCGAGCAATGCGAGGGATTCATAGACGGTGATCTGATAGAAAGTTTTCTCGATTTGAATCACGACAAAATGGCAGAAGTTGCGATGGGTCTTATGGTAATTCGGACATAGATTATTTTAATTGTGTATACATTTATATATAAGCATATTAGATTAATTTTTTTGAATCTCTCAATGCGTTATTTTTTTCCGTAGATCGACGATGGAAGTGGTATGAAAAAGGAAGCGACTGTAGACGATCTTGTAAAAATAGTAGAGGATCTTACAAGGATACATTAAATGTTATATAAGTAAACAATATTTTAAATCCATGGATTGTGTCTTTAAGAATATTAGAATTCGTATATATATAAAAAGGATTCAAATAATTTAAGTGGGAGTGCGTATGTTTATATGATTAGTTTTGTTATCGTTGACAAATAAGAAAAACGACGTAAATTTCTTCTTCTCTTCAAAAAGAAAATTTTTCCTTTCCTCTACTTGAAAAAAGTTTTCTCTTTTTTAGCACTTTTAAAAATTGTGTGAATTTATTTCATTCTACACGCTCATTTGGTGCGCGGTTAGGACCTGTTGCAGTATTTTTTAGAATCCTGTATGACGTAAAAATAATGTAGGACATTTGTTAATGAATTATCTTCAAAGAATTCTCGGATTTGTAGAGTAATGTCTTTGTATCTTTGTAAGATCGAGTGTAAATAAAAAGAATGATGCATTTTGAGGTAACGTTTTTTTTTCTTCATCATGTCACAATTTTAAGCTATTTATTGGCATTGAGTGTGGCGCGCAGTGTTTCTGGATCGAATAGCCAGCTACGTAAATTCTCTGTCCCTTGACCTGTCATACCACTTGTTTCCAGCACTGTGATTTTCTGTGTCACTTCCTTCTGTAAGCGCGCATATCGAAGCATCAGCAAGGCCTCGTTTCTCATCTGACGATATGATACATCCATTTTATTCAAGATGAGCGCAACTTTTACGTTTCGTAATCTCGGTTCCACGAGGAAAGAATATAGCAATACGCCCGCAGCACTAATTTGGCAAAGATTACTAGTATCCACGACGTAGATTATTTATGAATCTAACAAATGAAAAAAAGAAAATAGAAACGTATATACGTATTTAAATTGTGTATTGTGAGTTTATTGAGATTACGATTTTTTTTTTATTTTACAGTTAGTACCTTATCAAAATAATGCTTCCATATCGGTGCCATGTTACCGCCAATTTCTTTAATCACCATATCGAATTCGCCAGTATCATTTTTTACGGTAAATATATTTATTCCATTGGTAGGCACAGTATGAGTCGCATCATCGATTTCATCTCCTTGGAGACTTTTCATTAAAAGAGTTTTGCCAGATTTAAATGGTCCAAGGCAGAGACACATTTTTTTATATTATATTTAAAATTCTGTTAACTGTTATAATAAACTTTAAGCTAAAATAGCGTTTATGAATTGTTCAAATGATAAATACTTGCAATTCTCTAAAAGATATAACGAACTGATATTGATTTAACAGGTTCATCGCCATGATATATTTCTATGGGCGAGCAAATTAAAGTGATAATTAAGGCGTATAGCTGCAAAAAACTCATTAAAATTCAATGATTAAAATTATGTTTTAATCTCACAATGTTGCACTAAAAACTTTATATTTAAATGACACTATCAAAAGACAAAAATAATATTTTGAAATTTCTCTAATGATTTATCCATATATATATTAATATTATAATAATTTTAAACATCAGAGATATTCTTTTATAATTATAATTTTAATTAATATTGCAATAAAACGCCTTAATTGAAAAAAAAAATATATATACACAGTTCTATTCATAACCTATGACTTCAGGAATTAGCACAGTATAAAAAATTTTGTGACGCGTGTATATGGATGAATGTAAGTGTATGTGTGTAAGTGGATGAATAGGTATAGTGTAAATTCATTATAAATTAATTATATTTATATTTACAATATGAATATATATAGCGAATATATGTAGCATATACATTTTTCTAATGAATACGAAAAATATATTCTGATTGCACTTGTAATTTTATGCATTTATTGCAAAAGTTTTCTTTAACAAAATTAAAAATTCAACTTTTATATCTATCCTAAAAAGAAATAAAATTTTTCTACATTGTCTTATTTGAAAACTTTGCATCAGAGAATTAATATTGTTAAATCGCACTACTTAGGTATTGGCAGTAATCTTCTAACATTGTACATTCATCAGTTTTTGTAGACAAATAACACGCGTGTGACATATGCTTTTTATGTCTATACAGTAGTAAATATTGCGTACATAATAAATTTACATACCATAATCATTATGTATACAATATATAAATAGTCATTGTCTGTGTTTATAATAATAATGAACGTATCACCGTAGAAGTTCAAAATTTATTAAATGTAATGTTCTCTTGCTTATATCCTTTTTACATGACATATGCATAAACATTGTCCCTTCTTCAATTAAAGTTCCATATTTTTTTAAACAAATTAAAGAGATTTGTTACATATTTTAGTAAAATCCCTTATTTACATTAGCTAATGTCTTACAATAAAATAAAATTGTTTTCATTTAAAATACATAAGGTATTGAAAGAAAAAAAAAGAAAAAACATGGTGTTCTTGTTGATGTACAACACATGATACAATCTTTTTAGACATATATCTTTCTAGGAACGGGTAACAGAGTAACAAATCTTTGTGAAACACCAACAAGGAACAAGAATATCTTTTAACAGAGTTCATATAAACCTTCGAATGACACGAATTCGTTATGCATTTTGCATTCTGCATTTTTAACTATGTGCATACCAGTCTCATTTTTTAAACAGCTTACTAAAATGTTGACGCGTTGGCATAAAATTTGCTATGCATATATGAAATGTCATAATATTTTGGTGGACAAGTACATAGTTCATAAAAACTTTCCTAAGTCTTTTGTGAGTGCAAAGCATACATAGCAGCATAATTTTCATTATTGCATCAGTTCAGTCTAAATTCTTTACAAATGTACACTTTACATTTACATAGATATGTTATCTTGTATACTGATAATAGATAATGAAAACAATTTTGGCGCAAGAACTTTTCCACTATAAATAGTTTTTATATTGTTTCTCTAGCATTATAAATTATAAATAATCATTTAGCATCTTGTGTTTTATGTAACATGTACTTATTAAATACATAATATAAATTTGCATAAAATATGATGGTATGACGCTATTCATAATGAAAAAGTTAGAAAATATATAGACATACACACACATTATTAAAACATATCTTCGGTATTGTAAGTTTTATACTGTTTTCATCATAAATTTATACTGCTTTACACACTTGTCCAATGTAACTCGGTCGCTGTAAATTGTTGAGTTGGCCATTTTCTTCAAATAGTTATTTTTGAAATAGAAGATTTCTAAGCGTGCTATGGCATTGTTTAAAGTAAGGCACGCACTTGGATTGGCATTTCCCAAGAATGTAAACGCTTGTCTTTACTTCCAGCTATAATCTGAAAAATAATTACAAAGTTTCATTAATAAGTTTCATTAAGTTAGCATCTTTTTTTTTAGTATTTGCAATGCAAGATAAATTAAAAAGCTAAATATTTATTAATATTTAAAAAAATATCAATCAGAGAAAAGAAAATAATACAAAAAGTTAAGATATTGGAAAAAATCATTAAAAAAATTTGTGAGTATTGAATACATACCTTATTATTTACAACCTCCATACTCAATAACATATTCCCTGGACCATGTATGCTACATACTAATTTGTGAGTCTGTAAAGAAATTTAATTGAGTAACGAAGATACTGTTGTAAAGAATTAATTATATAATATGTGATACAAAAAAAAGACAATCACTTACACTTATATCAAAAACATAAATATTGCCGTTGTAACAACCTGCGAAGAGTAATTGTTTATAAAGCCGCATACATACAATGCCAACACCGGCATCATATTGAACTGCTTGCTCACCGGTCTGCAATTATATAAGAATGATGATACAACTTAATTTTTATTTCAAAGAAGAATTGAAAAAAAAACTATTGATATAACTTACCGTAAAATCGAAAACGTTTATAGACGTACTGCTTGTACCACAATAGATCAAATTATGATGATGTAACAAACTATAAACCGTATGAGTTTTCTGACCACTAATTGTGCGTAGAAACAAACCAGTCTGTGCATCGCGTATAGTTATCGGTTGATTTCGAGACGCCACAATGAGGATTTTTCGTGGTCCTTCATTTGTCGCTTTAAGTGCAAGTACAGACTTATCCGAAAACGAGATACTGCTTCCTTTAACGACACCAGTCTGCAAATAAAAAATTCGTATATATATATATAT